GATGTACAAATGCGCTTTACACAATTGATGTGTGTATGGATTGGGATAACAGTTGTATGAGCCCCTAATAAAATGTTAAAAAAGAAAAAAAATAATAATAAACTATACTCAAAATCCAAAAAAAGAAAAAAAAAAAAAAAGAAAAGTGGATAGAAAGCTTGAAAGGAAGGAAATGATTATATATTTAAGATTTTATAGCTAAAAACAAGCAAATAAGCAGTGATTACCTGCAGGACATAAAACTACACTGCCAATCATCCAGGCTTCTTCCTTGTGCTGCTTAATCTCTCTCAGAATCTGCTCTGCCAGATCCTTGGGTACCACAAGGGCAGCTCCAATCCCACAGTTAAATGTTCTGGTCATCTCTTCTTCAGAGAGATTCCCTTCCTGCTGCAACCACGAGAAGACCCTGGGGATACTCCAGGTCCGGGCATCTGAAAATGGGCAAGGGTTATTTGAATAATGAAACATTTACACATACAAAGCTTCATAAATTATAAGGAGGTACTGCTAGTTTAGAGGGGAAACTGGTCTTTGAGAAGCCTTCTTTCATTGGATTTTTGTGTGCCTTAGCCACTAAAACCCTTTTTTATTATTATTACACATGGCTTTTATTCACAATTGAGGCTTTTGTGCTGCACCCATTAGCTAGATCCTGAGAAACATTAGTATTCCTCCTAGTGATTTATTCATATAGCAGTATCTGAATTCTAGCATAAGTTGCATGCCACCCTTCTATGAATGTTTCGCTGGATCTTAGTGATGAGCAAATGTGATGTTAAGACCGCTGCAAGTTTGATTGCAACTCGCTGTGACTGAGTCAGTCTCTGACTCAAGACAAGAGTCTGCACAACAAAACAAAAGGCCATCAGGTCTTATGTCAACCCCATGATTAGTTACAGATTGAATTGTGGGCTTTCTTACAATTCTCATTAGCTGATTTTTAATAGTGGGTAAGTCTGTGTCCCCAGCTTGTCTTTAGCTTTGCTGAAACAGGTTCAGCATCACAGTAACATGCAAACCACCACCGAGAGACAGGTGGAAGCTGCCTGCTGGACAGACTGATAAATGGAACCTGGGTCTCCTGAAAGAAAACGTTACCACGGAATCAACAATCTCTCAAGATGCAAAACAAAACAGCCTATACACATGTTTACAAGAAATGTTCGTCTATCTACAGAGTTAAAAGTCACTAAATATAAAAGGCTTAAGACCAGCACCCTGTCTTTTTAAGATTTAAGTTGATCATGATAATTATATAAATTGTACATCCTCTATTATAAAACAAAGACATCTAAAAATATGGGTTTGAGGAAAAAACCTCCACACACATGCAGAGAACATTCCTGTGTAATAGCAGAATTTAGGATTTATAAAAACAGTAACTTCATATTTAAGATGCTCCAAAGGGAAGTTTGTTTTTTTTAATGTTCTAGAGTTGAAAGAATTTTTAAAAAGCATTAGACACCGATACAATTCTTCTGCCATGAGATTCAATTCCATTTTTACAAGTAGGAAACGCTCATTTTTAACGGCTGAAGGAAGATTCAGCTACCACATGTTCATCATGCCAGCAATTGTCAAAAGTGATACTCGAGCAACAACATAAAACAGATAATGGTACAGCCACACTCTTCGTCAAAAAAGCAATCATTTTGATAGGGAGATGCAGATGATAGATGACAGTAGCAAGAAAAACAACAAATTACAAAACTCTGATCTCATTTATAGTAAAAAGAATGCTGAGTGGTAATGGCTTATTTGTGTAGTTTCTATAAATGTACAGATATAACTGAATTTTAATTTTCATGCTGAGAATAATTACTTAAATCCTTTGTTAAAAATATGAATCACCAAAAGAAGCTTAGAAGCTGATGAGTGTCCTATTTTTATTAACTCAAAACAGCGGCTTGGTACAATTAGTAGTTTCAATTTGTCTAGAACAAAAGAGGGAAACCTAACATTCAAAGAAATCAGTTTACAGGACCAAGTGTCTACTTAGTTACTATGGCCTTACGACACAGCCATCCCCCCTCCTTTTGGGTATATAGCCAGAAGAGGCAAGAAACAAACCATGGCCAGACATCTGTGCTCCAGTGTTCATCGCCGCACAGTTCACAATTGCAAGGAGTTGGAAACAAACCAAATTTCCATCAACAGATGAATGGATCAAAAAACTGTGGTTCACACATACAATGGAGCATTACGCATTCCTAAAAAGCACTGATGAATGTATGAAGCACATTGCTGCATGGGAAGAACTGGAGGAAATTATGCTAAGCAAAGTAAGCCAAGCACAAAAAGACAAGTACAACATAAGTCCAGAGGTAAGCTTAACAAATGGGGCACGGGATAAACTACTATGTACATGTATATTCCTGGAGTGAGGCCCAGGTACTTTGGCAGGGACCAATCCCAAACCAGGGATACATATGTCAGCCAACTAAACAGGAGTGGGAAAGAGGAAACAAAACAAAAAAAAGGACATGGGTTGGGGGGGGAGCAGGGCACTAACCCACTAAAGGGGAGGGTATTATTTATATCTCCACAGGAGAGGCAGAGACCAGGCTTCAACCCGGTGCGTCGACGTGAATACAACATACTAACATGTGGCAGGCAATCAATAGAGGTCTGCCGGGCTGGCCCCAATCTCAACTATGTGGACCCCCTCTCCTCCCCCCACCCAAAAGAATACACTTCAGAGGACAGCACTGAAGTTACAGCTTGGGGAGAGGGACACATCTGATTAGAGCACACAGAGTAAACAAAGAGGGAAGGAAAATGAGTGGAACACATCCTGGCCCACTAAATGCCAAGGACCATATTCCTGCTCAGAGCAGATAATGCACGGAGAGAACCATAGGACTGGCCCCACCACGAGACACGACGTCCCTCACTGAACCATACAGCTATGGGGACAATACTGGAGACACAGTACGGGAATTGTGCCCGATCTGACCCTAATACACTGGGACGAAACATTAAGGGCATGGCAACAGAGCAGCAAGGGGAGCAAAGCGATTTAGTTCCTGGGGAATACCAAAATTAGACTGGGGACAGAGTGTGGCACCCCATCAGACTCGACTGGAAAATACTCCTAAAGGTAAAAAAACAGGCATGGAACCGTTTATAGGCTTTTCCTTTTTTTGTCATTGGCTTTCTTTTTGTTGTTATTTTGGTTGTTGATTTGCTTGGCTTTGCCTGGTTTTTGTGCTTATTAATGTCTCTGCATGTCTATCTAGGTAAGACAGGCGGGATAAACAATTCAGAAAAGAAAACAACGGGACCAATGGTTCCAGGGGGATACAGGAGAAAGGGAAGGGAGAGGTGTGTGTGTCCAACCAGCCCAGGGGCAATGGAATAAGTGAATTAAAATCAATGGAGAGAAGAGGATAGGAGGCCTAGTGGGACTTAATCAAGGGCAATGTATGAGGGCCGAACACGACAGTGGGACAAGAGGAAAGCAAAAGGAAGTAGAGGAAAGAACTAGGAGGCAAAGGACAGTTACAAAGGTCCAAATACAGGCGTGTACATATGCAAATGTATTCATAAACGATAAGTAAATATATCTATGTACTTATTTATGTTAAATATCAAGGTAGCAGATGGACATTAGGCCTCTACTCAAGTACTACCTCAACACAAGAACACTTTGTTTTAATAAGCCAGCTTTCTGTGATGCTCAGCTTCGCCACATGATCACAGAAGACAAAATAGGTGCAAAAGAAAATGTGGTGAAGAAAGCTGATGGTGCCCGGCTATCAAAAGATATAGAATCTGGGGTCTTAAAAGCTTGAAGATAACCAAACAAGTGTCCATCAAACTGAGCAGCAATAAAGTCCACATGGAAGAAGCACACCAGCCTGTGTGATCGGGAGGTTTTGAGGGGATCAGGTACCAGGCATCTAAGACCCAGAACAAAATCATACCAATGTGAATGGCGGGGTGGGTGTGGAGGGAAGACCCAAAGCCCACCTGTAGAAAATTGGACATCCCCTTAATAAGCCAGTCAGGATGCAGTATAGCAATGATGAAACATACAACTTTCCTCTAGTTCTTTAATGCTTCCCCTACCCCCTATCATGACCTCAATTTTACCTTACAAATCTGACTAGACAGAACATGTACACTGGTACAGATAAGAGCCCGAAACACAGATAAATCCCTCAGGACCAATTATGAGAATAGAGATACTGGGAGGATAAGGGGAAGGTAGGGGGAGAAATGGGGAATTGATTACCAGGATTGACATATAACCCCCTCACAGGGACACACAACAGAAAAGTGGGTGAAGGGAGACAGAGGACAATGTAATATATGAAGGTAATAACCTATAAATTATCAAGGGTTCATGGGGGATGGGAAAAAATGAGCTGACATCAAGGGCCGAAGTAGAAAGAAAATGCTTTGAAAATGATGATGGCAACATATGTACAAATGTGCTTGACACAATGGATGAATGTATGGATTGTGATAAGAACTGCAAGAGCCCCCAATAAAAGTATTTAATTTAAAAAAAGTTACAGCTTCACCTACAGAGAGGCCAGAAAAAAAAAAAGAGGCCAGAACTAGATGGTGCTTGGTACATTTCCAGGGCTTTAATAGATAGTAATTGTTGAATACAGAGGGACTGTTCTGAAATGTAACCCTCTCCTTCCCCCACCACACTGACCTTATTAGCACCCTGCAAAGTCCTCTACATTTTGAACTGAAACCATCCCTGTAGGTCACCTTTCAACTATGTAACAGATTGACTCACAGAACAAATAATATCATCTATAAGAATTGGGCTTCTTTTATAGTAGTGACACACACAAATGGACAATTTCCCAATAAAGCACTAAACATCTAAGAGACGAAAGAGTCAAAATTTACCCTAAAGCAAATATCGTCTCTAAAACATTACATTAAATTTTTTGTTATCTTGAGATTAAACTTTCTTACATAGAACTTGAAGCTCTCTCATGAGAAGGTCGTAGGAGGAGAGGTGGCAAGAATAACTGAAAGTAATACCCAGAACAGACATAAAGATAATGTTGTCACCATGTGGAAAAGTAACCGAGGTCACTGAACAACTTGTCTTGCTGGGGCTGTCAAAGCAGTTTCGACTCCTTCCCACGCTATCTACAACTGCTAGTCCTCCTGTGCCACCCGCATAATTATTTTATTTGAGGTGACTGTTGTAACCCTGTGTCAATCCAGCTCATCGAAGGTCGCCCTTTTTGTGTTGAGCCTGTTATCAAGCATGGTGTCCTTCTCTAGGGACTGGCCCTTCCTGATAACATGTCCACAGTCTTGCTATCCTTGCTTCTAAGAGGCATTCTGGTTGTACTACTTCTAAGACAAATTTGCTCATGGTTCTTTCTGGCACTCCATGTTAAAGTCAGTAGTATTCTCAGTTAACACCCTAAACCATAAGTATTCATTCTTCTTTGGCCTTCCTTATTACTCAATTAATGCATGTATATGTGATCCAAAATACCATGGTATAGGTCAGGCATACCTTAGTCCCCAAATGATTTCTTTATTAAAAGCGTTAAGTCATTTGACTTCTTGACTGCTATTCCCATGACACTGGCTATGGATCCAAGTAAGGCGAAATCTTTGGCAACTTTAATCATTTCTGAGCCAGTCAGGGTGCAGTATAGATGAAACACACAACTTTCCTCTAGTTCTTTGGTGCCTCCTTTCCCCTACTATCATGACCTCAATTCTACCTTACAAATCAGATTAGACCAGAGCATGCACACTTCTATAGACAAGAGCCTGCAACACAGGGAATCCAGGATAGATTACCACCTCCCCAACCCCCCAGGCCAACAATGAAAGTAGAGATATCAGGAGGATGGGGGTAGAAAGTGAAAATTGATCACAAGGGTCAACCTATAACCCCCTCAGGGGGATAAACAACGGAAAAGTGGGTGAGGGGCGATGGAAAATGATGTAAGATATGAAAATAATAATAATCTATAACTTATCAAGGGCTCATGAGGGAGGGTGGGCAGGGGAGGAAGGGGGAAGAAATGGCAAGTTGATATCAGGGGCTCAGGTGGGAATACTTTGAAAATGATGATGGCAGCTTATGTGCAAATGTGCGTCACGTGACACTGGATGAATGTATGGATTGTGATAAATGATGTAAGAATTTCCAATATAAGTATTAAAAAAATGTTCTAAATGATTGTAGTGATGACGATACAGCTTTTTGATATAATTAATCTATCATATATGTGAATTATATGCCAAAAGCTTGTTAATCATTTTATTGGGGGTCTGTACAACTCTTATAATCCATACATCCATCCATTGTTGTCAAGCACTTTTGTACATTTGTTGCCATCATCATTCTCAAAACATTTGCTTCCTATTGAGCCCTTGGTATCAGCTCATTTTTTCCCCTCCCTCCCCACTCATGAACCCTTGATAATTTATAAATTATTATTTTGTCATATCTTACACTGTCCGACGTCTTCCCTTCATCTACTTTTCTGTTGTCCGTCCCCAGGGAGGGGGTTATAGGTAGATCCTTGTAATATGTTCCCCCTTTCCACTCCACCTTCCCTCCACCCTCCCAGTATCGCCACTCTCACCACTGGTCCTGAAGGGTTCATCTATCCTGGATTCCCTGTGTTTCCAGTTCCTATCTGTACCAGTGTACATCCTCTGGTCTAGCTGGATTTATGAGGTAGAATTGGAATCATGATAGTGGGGAAAGCATTAAGAACTAGAGGAAAGTTTTATGTTTCATAGTTGCTACACTGCACCCTAGCTGGCTCCTCTCCTCCCCATAACCCTTCTGTAAGGGGATGTCCAGTTGCCTACAGATGGGTTTTGGGTTCCCACTCTGCACTCCCCCTCATTCACAATGATTTTTTTACCCTTTGATGCCTGATACTTGATCCCGTCGATACCTTGATATCACAGGCTGGCGTGCTTCCATGTGGACTTTGTTGCTTCTCAGCTAGATGACCGCCTTTAAGACCCCAGATGTTGTATTTTTTGATAGCTTTTTTTAAAAGCCATTTTTTGAAACCATCAGCTTTCTTCACATTTGCTTGTGCTCCCACTCGTCTTCAGCGATCATATAGCATCATGTAATGCCAGTTTAATAGAACAAAGTGTTCTTGCATTGAGGGAGTACTTGAGTGGAGGCCCAATGTCCATCTGCTACCTTAATACTTAACCTGTATATATGCACATACATCTATTTTCCCATCATGTATAAGTATATTTACATATGCACATGCCTGTACAGTGAACCCTCGCCACTTCGCGCTTCGACTTCCGCGGCTTCACTCTATCGCGATTTTTGCGTAATAGCGCATGCTGTCATTACTGCCACTGATTGGCTCATACTGTACACGCTTGATGCCATAAATAATATAATAAATAATAAATGATCATTGTAACATCCAAAATGTTTTACTGTATTTTCCCTTTTTCGTTTAATAAATTGGGTAATACGAGTGTAATGGTGACTAAAGGGTGTTTTTTCATGTCCTCTATGCTCTAACTACGAAAATATTTGATTTACAAATAAGGAATCCTACTTCGCGGAATTTCATTTATCACGGTAGGGTCTAGAACCGATTAACCGCGATAAACGAGGGTTCACTGTATTTAGACCTCTATAAATGTCCTTTGCCGCCTAGTTCTTTCCTCTATTTCCTTTTACTATTTCTTCTTTTTCCACTATCATGCTCAGCCTTCATTTGAGTTTCAGTAAGTTCTCTCAGGTACGCCAATAAAAGTTTTAAAAGAAAAAAAAAAAACCAATCATTTCTAAATTGATCACAAGGCTGAAGATTTTTGTTTGGTGTTGACTTGTAACCCATATTGAAGACTGCTTTTCTTGATCTTCATTAGTAAGTGCTTCAAATCCTCTTTGCTTTCAGCAAAGTTTTGCCATCTGCATATTGTAATTGTTAATGAGCTTTCTCCTCTGGTACTGATGCCATATTCTTTTTTTTTATTTTTTATAAATCATTTTATTGGGGCTCTTACAACAATCCATACGTCCATTGTATCAAGCACCTTTGTATATATGTTGCCATCACCATTTCAAAACATCTTTTCTTTTCTTTTTTTTAAACAGTCAAGTGCAGTAGTGAGGGGAGGGGGCGGGGGTAGACAAATAGACAAACTGACTGTAAGCAATCGTTGTGAGATCTCACTACCTTCTGACCAGCCATCAAAACACTTTTTCTACCTGAGCCCTAGCCATGTTCTTTTTCAGAGTCCAGCAAACACAAACCAAATTTGCATTTTACTTGCTCACCAGCAGGAGCCGTGGTTGAGCACTGATGAGGATTTCGCCTCAGAGTTGCAGTCTCGAAAACTCACAGGATCGTTTTACCTTGTCCTATATGGTCATTACGTGGCAGAATTGATTCTATGGCAGTGAGGTTTTTGTTTTTTTAGTTTTTATAGAAATTAAGTATGGTGAAAAGATACAACCCTGATGCATGCTTTTCTTGACCCTAAACCATTTATTAACCCCGTTTTGTTCAAATGACTGCCTTGTGGTCTATGTAATGAGTCTGCACAAGCACAGTTAAGTGTTAAGGATCGACCCAGTCCTTGTAGTCAATAAAAGACAAGCAAACATTATTTTTCTGCTATTCTCTTTCAGCCAAAACCCAGTTGATGTCAACATGATATCCCTTGGTGCACCTCCTCTTCTCAACTCAGCTTGAATTTCAGGTTGTTGGGATACTGCAATTATTTTTTTATCGTTTTCAACAAAATTTTATTTGCTTGTGACACTAATGATATTGATGGATAAATTGTTGGGCTACCTTTCTTTGGAATGGACAAACATACTGATCTCTTTGAGCTATCTTTGAAACTCTTTGTTGAAACATCAATTTCTGAAGCTTTGTTTTCGGCTAATGTCTCAGTGCAGTTGAACAGTGACTCTGCTTAATGCAATGCTATTCAGATGTACTCACTGGCACCCCTCACTACTCCTCTCTCATGACTGATCCCTACACTTTCACAGTCCAACTGACCAACCCTCAAACTATTTTCTTCTGTTTCTCCTCAAAGATACCTCTACTTTGGGCGAAAAGCCCCATGACAAGCTTCACTTTCCCTGTGCCCCCACTGCTGTTTCCTCGTTCTGCTTTTTACTCTCTCCAAGGCCCACTCCAACTCTACATCTGCGTAGCTCACCAAGCCCTTAATACAAAAGTTACTTTATTCAAATTGCCTCAGTCTCCACTTTTCTCAACTACTGTTTACTGGCTGTGAGAGTTGTGAAGAACATGCACACTGCTACAGATAAGAGCCCGTAACACAGGGAATCCAGAGCCCCTTGCCCCCCCCTCCCCCGACAAATATGGGAAAAGTGGGTGAGAATGCTTTGAAAAGGATGATTATGGTATATGTGCAAACATGCTTGACACACTGGATCATGTATGGACTGTGATAAGAGATATGAGTCCCAAATAAAAGTATTTTAAAAACACAAAAACAAGCAAACAAAATAACTGGAGAAACAAACTGTCCCGTAATTTTTGCCTTGTGATCAAGTCACAACTCCCTTTTCCCTTTTATCACCAAGTTTCATCAAACAGGAGTCTCTATGTCAGTCATATATGTCACAAGCTGACTTGTGTCATCCTGAAATCCTTCCTTGGGCCGTATGATGAACTTTTACATGGCTTACCCTACTGACTGTCCTTTGTAGTAGCCCTACCTCTTGCTACCTTTAAAACTGACAAAATATCAAAGAACAGCCTTTTGGTTCCCTTCACTCTGTTAGCTTTAATTATTACTATGTGCATATGACTTAGGATTTTCATTCTGATCTCTCTAAAAACAAAGAAGTAGAGGTTTAAAATACTATAGTCTTACTTGCTACTCCAAACCTATTTTTCTTCCTGTGCTGTGGATATTAACTCTCTGTTCACTTACTTAACCAGAGAACTTGTGCTATTATTTCCTTGTCATGCACGTCTAAGCATGCATTAATTCTCCAATTTGTCTACCCTATGTCGTGGCCCAGGTCCTCTTTATCTTCCACATAGACTATTTAATAGCTACCATTTCCTTCCTGGAATGTCATGACTGAGCTTAAGCTTACATAACCTTCTGAAAGATCTGTAATAGCACTTTATCTTTAATGAAATCAATTAACGGCAGAGAATTTCATATCTTATAAATAAGGCTAATAAAGTAAAAAGACACGGAAAAGGGTACGCTCTACTACTCCCATAAAAATCCCAACAATTAAGAATTTTCCAGGTATAAGTCTATATGTGTTAAGTATAATTTTCTCCTACAATGCATTTTTCCCTTAATAGTTTTCTGAACAAAATTACTTTATAATGATCTTACCTAAATCCACCCCAAGTTTTGGAGGGAGGACTCTTGGAATGTTTTCTAGTAAACCTCCTCCAGTAATATGGGCAAAGGCCTTGACATGTCCTGAACGTAGGACAGGCAAAAGTGTCTGGCTGTAGATTCTAGTTGGAGTTAGAAGCAGCTGCCCTGTATATGGAAGAGAGTAGGAGAAAAAAACAGAAACAAAGCTTATAAAGATAACACCCAAACACAAGACAGTTCTGATATAGGCAAACTGCAATCTTTCACAGAAACACTAATGCCACAAGATGCAGCAAAACCATAGAATATTTTTAAATAAACAGACACAACTGCAAGTTGTTGCTTCGACATTTCCAATTAGGAGAGTTTACATGTGAACAAATTTACCTAAAGTCTGGTCCCCACAACCATTTGGTGCTGGAGATGAGTATTGGAGAGAAGAGTTTGCCACAATTTTCCTCACAAGGCTAAACCCATTGCTATGGACTCCAGATGAAGCTATTCCAAGGACTGCGTCCCCTTCAGTTATTCTGTCCAGGTGCGGAAGTTTCTGGTCCCGCTCCACTGCACCAACAGCAAAGCCAGCTAGGTCATACTCTCCAGGAGCGTACATGCCAGGCATTTCGGCAGTTTCACCTCCTAGTAATAGAGGCACACAGGAGCAAAGAAATCACGGAATTTCCACAAATAGCAAGATAATAAGGTACTACTCGCTCTTAAGAATGTGTATAGTCATTTAGTTTCAGAAATGCTTTAAAGATCAGACACCAATTGCATTCTAAGAGATGAATGAGAAGGCAATTTTTGGCTTTTGGATAGACATGGTCACAAAAGTAGAAACTTAAGATATGGTGCTTGGATCAATTAACCTAACGACAAATTGTTCATGAGGGAAGAATAATCTGAAAAAGTTGAAGATGGTGGCACAAACTTGAAGAATGTAATTAACTGTGTATCTAGAAATCACTGATTTGGTGTTATGTCCTGCAGCGTGTATTCAGAACAAAAACTTTTTGAAAAGTGATAGTTCAGTTCTTTGGCTAATCTATAAATTCATGATTAGCTCCTTCGCTGCAAGACCAAATGAAATACAAATGCACCAATACCCAGTGATTGCTAGTCACGGTGACTTTACAGGACAGTGCAGAGCTGCCCTGGAGTTTTGGAGACTGTAACTCTTTAAGGGAGTAGAAAGCCCCATCTTTCTCCAGAGGAGGGCTTGGTGGTTTCAAACTGCAGACTTTGTAGATCACAGTGTAAGGCATAACAAATATGCCACCAGGAGTAGAAAGTCTCATCTTTCTACCTTGGAATAACTAATGTTTTTGAACTACTCCTAATCACTACAGCACCAGGGCTGTAAGTCCAGTAGGAGTATATAGTCTTTAGACCTAGCTGTTGAGGGAGCTGCCCAGAAAGGTGGCCAAAGATGAGGACAGGGAGAGAGAGAAGGCCTGCCTTACAGGTTAAGGGTCTAGGTCTGTAGACAAGCCCTTGAGTAGGGGTTTGGGCATGAGGGTCTAAGATTCCTTTGGGTAATATTACCTATATTTTACTAGCCTTCTGATGTACAATATTTCTTGCTAGCCATATTAGTAATGATCCCCTCTATGCTAAAATACATTCAAGAAAGGAGGCGTGTGACACAAAAGGGAGGGTAATACCAAGGAGGGCACATCCAGCCTTTCCACAAGCTTTAGCGATACCACTGACAACAGCTTCTGTGGTATCCAGATCAAGTTTCCCACAGGAAAAGTAGTCAAGGAAGAAGAGGGGCTCTGCTCCTTGTGCCAGAATATCGTTCACACACATTGCAACTAGATCTTGACCAATTGTATCATGTTTATTGCACAGCTGGGCAATCTACAGAAAAAGAAGAGAATAAACAACAAAGTACATAATAATTTCTCAGATGACGTTAACAAACACCAATGATGTTTGACTAGTAGTTTTAACACCTAGAGACAAAAGAACATGAGGGACAGAGTCAGCTGTACAGATTTTTGACTCATGGTGATTCCTAATAATCTGCTTGGCTCTAAGAACATGCATTTATCCCCTAAAATATCTTCCCCATGCAGACAGTCTCCACAATACTGTGCTGTTAGAAATGTATACACTTTGGCCATATGTTATAGTTACTTGCTCTAGATCTTTTAGCACACATCTGTTAAAAGGGAAAAAGTATGTATCTGACATAGGAAATTCTCTTAAGCTTCAGAAGGGCTTTTATTCACAAAGGTGTCTGATTACCTTCAGCTTAGTTCCAACACCATCGGTTCCAGAAGCCAGAAGAGGATCTTTGAAACCAGCTGCTTTCAAATCAAAAAGACCAGCAAATCCCCCAAGATCAACTTCACACCCTGTTGGAAAATAAATTACACAGAAATATAATACTTCTACATGAAACAAAATATGCCTTTCTTAAGAATAGTGACAAAAGCACCATGTTCTCAAAGAACACAGTTAATATAGAAGAGCATACATATTCTTTGACATCATGGATAAGGAACGTTTGCCTTGAGAAAGACAAGAGAAAAGGAACACCATGAGTATGACCTAAGCAGGGTAGGAACTCACAGTAACCAAACAGTATATGGTTGGTTCCCTTAAATACACAGTTCAAGTCTATTCACAATGTCAGTCAAATTTCATGCATTAGTTAAATCAGGATCTTGCTTACCTGGTCTGGAGGTGGCTTTTGCAAAAGGTTTAATTTTTTTGACCAGCATATTCCCAGCTGCAGTATCTACCCCAGATTCTTTGTACGTCAGACCCCTAAAACAGAACACAGCCACTGTAACATAAATATTAAGGAAAATTATCCTAGTCTTAAAAAAAAAAAAAAAAAAGCCATATAGGACAGAATTGCTCCCCATGGGTTTCTGAGACTGTAACTCTTGCTATAGTACGTGCTGAATAAAAAGCCTATGTTCTCATTTAAAATAAAAAAAAAAAAGGAAAAAACTCAACATTTAGGCCTAATCTACAGATTCTGATTTAACTGAATAGGATAGGTCCTGAGATCTGAAAGGTGTTTCAAGTTTACTTCAAGAAACTCAATTCCATTGAAAAATACTTTTCAAACTCTAACCTATCAAACATTTCTTCTAGTAGTTTTCCATTGAATGTATCAATACGTGAAGGTCTGTGTCCATCAGAAAAAGTCCCTTCTAGGATTGAAAGTTAAAAATTCAGCAAGTACATCTCCTCTACACAGTGACCCAACGGAACCTGGCGGAAACAGAGGAGGGTGAAAGAAGGCTATGTGCCACAAGAGGAAGTCCCAGTGTGCGTGGTTAGGCCTGAGGAGGGGATACTTAATGGACTACCAAAAGAGGATAAAATGGGCATGAGAACAAGTATGTGAAGTTTTTAAAGAATAAACCAGAACTGCCCCCAGGACTGAGTCCTGAAGCCACTACTCCTGCTACCCCATCTAGGCCTGAAGGTGGTAAACCAAACCTTTCCAAAACAGCCAAACACAACCTGAAGCAGAAGAGGAGGAGGCAGCAAGAGGAGAGGCAGAGGCCTTGAGCCAGACTCTTGAAAAGATGTCCCTGCGAGGCTGCCACACTCCCCAGTGCTCTGCAAGGCTTCCATGCAGTCCCTACAGCACTTCTGACCAGCCTGCCTCCGCTGTCACCACTGACTGAGAAAGCCAAGATAAAGAATCTGAAGCAGCAGTTACAGCAAGTGCAGGAGCTGCAACAGCAGCAGATCCAGGCTGGGGAGGTTAGTCAGCCCAGCAAGGAGCAGCTGGAGCAGCTGGCGAGGAGGGCACGAGAGGAGGAGCTGGGGGACCTGGAGGTAGGCCTGTGAGGCCTTTGGAGAACAGCAAATGGACTGCAGAACAAACCATGGGCTCTCTGAGGTCTTGAGGACGTGGACAGAAGCAGTCAGAGGGCTACCCTCAAACTGGTGCACTTCTACTTCTTGCTGCCCAACCCTGTCCTCCCAGTCTAGTCTCGCCCTCATTTCCCTTTACACACCCCCGCCACACCTGGTTTTGGACTTTGCTCCTCCCACCCCCAATGTTCAAAATCTTAGTGACTGTCCCACTGTACTTTTACTGCTGGGTATTTTGTTTAACAGAAAAGTGGGTGGATGGAAATCTCTTGGAGAGCTGAGATTGGGGGTAGGGGACTACACTCAAGTCTGGGAGTCTTGGTTCTCAGTGTTTAGACATCATCTCCCTCAGCTCTTAAAAAAAAAAAAAGAGAATAAACTCACAATACAATGAAACTTGGCCATAATCCTCTGTTCAGTTTTGAGATGGGTACTCACTGCCTAAAGCTGATGCTGACTCATGACAACCCTACAGAACAGGGAAGAACTGCCCCTGTGATTTTCTAAGATCCACTCTTTATGGGAAGAGAAAGCCCAGGAGAGAGAGGCTGGTGATTCTGAACTGCTAACCTTACAGCTGGCAGCCCAATACATAACCACCACACCAGGGGACCTTTGATATGGGAAGGAGTACAAAATGGACAAAACTGGGATTATGAAAAATCTACAATGAAAACTCTAAATATGTAAACCAAGTTCTTATTGCAGCGGCAGACAAATATGAGGGGCTTCAAAATGTTTGTGGGAAAATTCAAATATCTTAATTCAGATTTCCACAAACCTTTGGAAGACTCCTGTTTTCCTTGTAAATGACAGGAAAAATAAGGTGAAAAAGTTAAAATAAGCTAACGATATTCAATGCATAATTCCATTTGAACGTGCATAAAGTCTATTGGAGAGATACATTTAAAAACTGAGTTCTTGAACATCATGTGAATTCAGTAGAGAAGACCTGTATAAATCTACAAAACGAACAAACGTGAAATCTTATAAGAAGAAAGGATACCAGGGTACAACTAGAGTTCAGCGTTTAGGAAGTCAACTCCAATAAAGTGAGTAGCCCGAGGTCATCTGAGGTAAAAATCAAGTCCTCCTGTTTTAAAACTAACATTCTCTGTAATTACTAGCATTTGTACTTTTATTTTCCTCATCTCTAAGCTTATGCACCAGAAATAAGGCTGAAGTCTCTTGAAGCATGTCATTTTTATGGCATCTAATAAAATAAAATAGAATCTGAACATGGCATCTCAAAGTTCTTGATTCTAAAAAATACTCCAGTGTTAATGCTTAAAAAATTTGGCTCTCAGTAACAGTACAGCTTGAATTAAGACATTGCTAATGCCCCAATTTTTCCTAATATATCCATTAACCAATGGTGCACTCAGTGAACAGTACTTAATAAGTATTTAATAAATCAAAACACCCACACTCACAATATTTTATTGATTTTAACAAGGGAATTACTGTACATGGCAATAAGTCTATATCAAAAAGGGTTAAAAAGTTTTCAGTAATAGATATAAAGTGACAGAAAAAAACTACCAAAATGCACAGTATAATCAAGTTACAAAAGTTAGATGACCAAAACTCCCAGGATACCTTAAATTCTTGACAAAAACAGGAAGTAGAATGAAAGCACATCAATAATTTTCAAGTTCATGAGTTGGACAAAGAAAGGTCCTTAGTATCATTATTTAGGTAAACTTTTCAGACATAAGGAGCTATCTCTTTGCATGCTGAAACCAGTTATAGTTCAAACTAAATATAAAGACTTGATTAGTTCACAGAAATAAGTACAGAATAACGTAGTATATGTCATCAACGGGATCTTTCAGACATTTAGGCCAGCTCTAAATCTGCTATAATCCCGTGAGAGATTTTTACCTGCGCTGTTGGAGGAAGGCAATGGCACGATAGCCAATGTCTTTCCTATAAATGGCTCCCTCAAACTTTATAGTAGCCAGTCCCTTCTTAGCTTCTTCAAGTGCTGACAGGAGGTTGTCCTGGATGGCTGTTATTGTAAGAACTCTTCCCCCATTAGTCACCACTTTGCTGTCTTTCAAGGCAGTGCCCGCATGAAACACCTTCAGTCCCAATGCACGAGCCTCTGGAAACCCTGTACAAGAGCACATTTGTCCTGTTATCACTTATCACAATTATTTTACCCTTGTGGTTTTCAAAAGTTCCCTTTCAAATCCTTTATTTATTTAAAATCCATATTCAGAAGAAGGTAGGAATTATTGTAAAACCAAAACCAAACCCACTGTAGCCAGCAGAATTCTGCCTATGGCAACCCATAAGGCAGAGTGCAACGTCCCTCCACAAGGTTTTCAAGCCAGCAAATCTCGGAAGCCAGCAGCTACATCTTTGTCCTGCAGAGTGGCTCAGTGGATCAGTTAGTGGGATTGAATCATGCACCCTTTGGTTTGTAGCTGAGTGCTTAACCAGCACATGGCCAGAGCTCCTGGAATTAATCCAATACAACAATACATAAAATGACCCCTTTGCTTCGGTTCTATGTTAGGGTGGTAACTAAAGGGACTGAAAATCAGACACTAATGCCTGGAACATTTAATAATTAAAACACACAGTTTGAACAAACCCTGCATTTGACCACATCTATTTTTCACTTAAGTCCTGTAGCACTGTCAGGTAAGGATTGGAATGCCAACCTCGAAAGGTGGGAAGCTCAAAACCACTAGATGCTTGTCAGGAGCAAGCTGAGAATGTCTGCTCCCAAATAGACTGACAGCCTAATAAATCTTGTAAGAGGGTCCCTGCTAAGTAAGAATCAATTCGACAACAGCAAGATAGTTTTAGTTATAATTTTCACTTGAAAGAGAACTTAATCTTAACTAATCCTTCCCTAAATATGTAAACTGTAAAATTTTAGTACAGATTTGACTTACGCTAAATCTAGGAGAACCAAACTTCACTTTCTTTTTAATTATTTTGATGATCTCAGCTAAAATTTTACTTGAAACATCAGAATATACTTTCTAAATTTTAAAATAATCAAAGTATAGCTTCTCAGTCTTTTGGCTAAAATCAAGCCGATTATCTGTTCACATTAACATCTGTGGCATCTATCCAAAAACATTATTTTTGGAGCATTGACCTGGTATTGCAGTACCTCCAAAAATGGTGCATCTCCCCCAAGGAAATCTAAAAAAAACCCGAAAAAGAACCAAAAAAGTCCTGCAAGAACAGAGTGGTTTACACAAAGAACTCCGCAAGGCTGTATCTATGATCATCTGGAGACCATGCCTATAAAATGTATTTTACTGGCTCTTCTACATTACCATTATCTCCTTGGCTCTGAGGAGGTGGAAATGAAAAGGGTACACTGGGTAATTTCCAGGACTCTTGACAAGGATCACTCACAGTCTTCTTTGTGTAAGAAGGGAAATGAATGACAGCTCTTTAAAGACCATTTTGGGCACGTGAAAGCACCCACAGACGATAAGCAATGTGGTTATGTTACAGACACCTCCAAGATTGTAGATTATTTCAAGCCTTTAGAAATTGCTGTTTATTCTATTGCTCCCTGATATGTACCTGTGATCTCCACACCTTTGGCGTAGTCTCCAGGATAACCTTTACTTGCCATGACAACAGTGATAGCAAAGTGGTTTTCCAACCACACGGGTAGAGCTGTGCACAGCAGGCCATCTAAGGTGGACTGGATCACTTCATAAAGATCACTTTTAAGAAGGGGGAGGATTACCTGGACAAACAGTCAACATAGCAATTGAGAAATATTTTAGTTTTCCTTAATTATTTAATTCACTGGGATACTAGGTTGAACTTACAAACATTTTTCTAGGGTAATCATTTCCAGAGTGATAAATTCTGCAAGGAATACAACAGTATTCTTCTATATATTAAAACTTATATTATTATATTTGGTATTTTTAATTGTATACATAATAATATTAAGGCTACCCACCTGACACTCCGGATCACCAAAACGACAATTAAACTCCAGAACTTTTGGACCATCTTTGGTTAGCATTATACCAGCATACAGAACACCTTTATTTCAAAAGAGGACATAAAAAGGAAACCTGTTATGAAGATTTTTCAAGTCGCTCTAACAAATATTACCACAATGGTCAGTTAAAAAAAGAGTGGAAATGAACAGTCTTGCCAAGGCATATGCTTTCACTATAAACAATGTCTATAGTTACATCCATGTTCTTACCTGTATAAGGTGTAACTTCCTGCTGCATGCCATCCACTGTCCTCTGGAGAATAGTATTTTTAATTTTTAATAACAGATCCTCTGAGACCTGGGGCATAAACAAGTAAATTCAGTCAATATTAAAAACACAAAGGAATACATCTTAAGTGTTACGACAACTCTTATTGACTACCTGATTGAGATGGGGGAGCCCTTCAAATTTCATTTAAGTTTTAAAATCCTCACAACTGTCCTATCAAGTGGGGTTTTCAAGCTTATTTTTATAGTTAAGAAATAAGTGTTGAGGGGAAAAACATGCCACATTAAAAACCATACAGTTAATGGCAGCACTTTCTTTGTGCCGCCAGGCTTTAAGTGTGCACACATCCACACAGCCTTTATTCAGGAATGCACTGACTTCTAAATCACCACCCATCACCATACTTAAAAGATTTTCAAGTGCAAAAATCTCTAGTACAATTGTAGAGTTTTCTGAATTCTAAGAATGACAAGGGGGGAAAAAAAAAAGCCTCATCAGGAAGCTCTTTTATATCTATCCAGTGTATTCTATGCATAGTTCACAAAATGCACACAAGAACCTAGGTTTACAAACTGTCAAAATTAAATTGGATAGATCATATACTAAAATCACCATTACCAAATGGTAGTTTCAATACTCATGTAACCTGAAAACAAAAAGGTTATGTAAAGCTTGTTTTTTAATCTTTTAAAGGGAAATGTTTCAAAATCCACTTATTAAAGTGAGTTTTTGAAATGCTAATTTAATGATAATATAAAGCAAAACAATGTTTAATTGTGACTTACATTTTATCCTTTATGAAGTAGTAGGACCAGAAAAAAATTAAGACCCTATTGTGTTTTCAATTTATCTTTTACACACACACACCGGGTTCTAGGTTTTGATTATCTAAAGATGAACATAAGAGAATTTGCAGTCCCTGGATTAAAAAACAGAATGTAGGGAAGAGCACTAGGAGGTTCTGATCAACTGGCTTACTTAGGATAGTAGTTGTTTTAGACACAAGACCATTAAACACTATAATGATTCTCCATGAAGCGAGACCAGAATAGATAATCTGCATTTAATACAAGAACCAACTTAGTGATTAGATATAATTTACAAAGAGCCCATACAACTCAAGAAGAAAAGCAATATACAAGCGATCTTTCAAAAGACAAATTACTACTGAAAATCAGCTGGGTCTCTGTGAAGTACCTGAGGTGCTGGACAATAGGCTCCCATACCCCCAGTGTTGGGGCCCAGGTCTCCATCCAGTAATCGCTTATGGTCCTGTGCTGGGGGCATAGGGGCCACAGTTCTTCCATCTGTGAAACACAGACACTGCAGAGAAAACAAAACAGAGCACTTATGAAAATAATTTAGGGTAAATTATATAAACCCATTCCTTTCCAGGAGCCCTGGTACCCTAGTGGATTAAGTGTTGGACTATTAACTGCAGAGCCAGCAGTTCAAACCCACTAACCATTGTGGGCAAAAAGATGAGGCTGTCTGTTCCCATAAAGATTCGGCTGTTTTAGAAACCCAAAGAGCAATTCTACTGTGTATTCTAGGGTTGCTATGAGTTGGGACTGACTCAATGGCAGCAGGTTTGTATGCTGAAGGAAAGTTTTATTTGAACTATTAGAATGAAAAACAAATACCCCCAGATCACATCTATCAAGGACCAGAATCCCTTATATATTCTACTACTGGAGTGCCTGTAATTTTTCAGCTAGGTTAGTGACAAATGAAGACCTCTCAAAATAAAAGATTTTAACTTTGGACTTTCTAGCATTAAAATTTTATTCAAAACTACTTTATTACACAATTTATTGTATAAGAAACTACACAGGAAAAAAACAAGGCCAATTGTGTGTGATATAAGTCAATGTGTCTAGCTAGCCCTTATAGAAGGCAAACTTAAAAATGCTAAGTTAAGCCCCCTTTCCAAGCCCCCCAACTTAGCACCCCATATATAGTTATGTGCATTCCTTTATAACTGCTAAGATTTACAAAAAAGCAACTAGAGAAAATAAAATCTTTCTTGTGGCACGGGGAGCTAAGTTTGAACACAGATCCTAACATGCCATAAAAGCCAAACAGTGGACCATACATACAGATACTTCTTCTCCTTCAAGTAGTTCTTCAATGACAATCGTTTCTCCAGCTGATCCAAAAGCTTTATCCTAATGGTAGGTTTTAATAATAAATGGTCAGTAAATTTCTAAGCTTTTTACTATTTATATAGCTGACTTCTGTCATTTTATAGCTTTTGTACACTGAATAAACTGGAACTTGCCTAATGTATGTCCTCTGAAAGCCTCCAAGGGGCAAATGGATGCTTATTTTAATTGATGGAACAATGGAGAGCTGGCACTGGCACAGATTGAATCAGATTTTGTCAGTGTCAATCTATAATACTTGTTTATAAAGATGGGTTATAATACACATAATTATACACCACCAAATACCCTTATATACTGACCAAATGTAGTCTCCCCACCCCCTGCCTTGAGGTACTTAAAAATATTTATTCAAAAGGACAAAATTGTATGAACCTACTTACATAAATTATTTACATAAGTTTCAAAGTGGATACCAGGGATAAGCAGGAGGGACAAGGAAAAAGAAGCCCATTGCTTTATGGAAAAATTTGGATAGTAGTAACAGTAGAAACCATGGACATAAGGTCATGGAACTGTTAACAGTAAGAAAGGATTAAAGTTATGCTGCATGCATACATACAAAACAAAAAAATCGTAAAGAAAGAAATGTTTAGTCTCTGAATAGAAAACCAGATTCTCCCGGAAGAATCAAACTTACTTGCATGATCTCCTGCACAGCTTTGCAGGCCTCTTCCTTGTTCTTTGCAACAATAACCCCCTTCCCAGCAGCAAGGCCACTGGCCTTCACAACCAAAGCAGGGAAGTCCGCACTGTGAAAACAAATCCAACCTCAACACCAAACAAATGACTACAATTTCAATTGTTAAAACGTTTTTGAGGTTTGTCTGGTTAATGCAAGTAAGGTTATGGGAAAATATGTTTTGGCATGTTGTAATGATGTACTATACACACTGTCATGAATTTGTCTCTATGCATTTTCTAACAGCTGTGAAGTAACAGTGCACTTAAATTTGCCTTCTTGTTTATGAAAAAAAAAAAAAAAAGACGAATTTTCTTCTTTTATAAATTAGAAGATTTTATTGGGGGCTCTTACCGAAATTTCTTTTTCTAATGCAACATTATTATAAGAATAATGCTACAGTGTAAGAATAAAGTAGATATATAGAATGGATATGGAATGGAACCGATTAGATGGCCCCTACTGCCACTACCCACTGCCATCCTTAATTCTGCCTCACACAATTTTCTGTTGATGTAAGACAAAGGCAACCCATCTCATGTTTATTTTGAATTTCTGTTTCCCACCAAACTGTCTTAAACATTTGCCTCTAAGAACTAGCATGATATTTTGAGAGTAAAAGTTATCTGTGTACTTAAAACATGATAAAACTACCCTTCACAGGCAGCGCTTAATCTACCTCATGATAAAGTTGCAGGCCTCTTCAGGCTTGGTGAAAGCTCTCCATTTTGCAGTTGGGATTCCATGTCGTTCCATAAACTCTTTGGCAAACTTTTTGCTGGATTCTAACCGAGCTGCTTTTGCTGTGGGGCCAAAGCATCTTACACCTGCAGACGTCAGGTTCTCAACAATTCCTATGCAGGGAACAAATAACCTTAATGTGAACCAACGCCTCTCCAAGAGTTTGGTTTCTTAAAAATTTTTATCCCAAGAGCTTTTGACACCGAAGAAGTATTAAGATTAGACTAACTCAACTATCCATGAGGATAATTATATTTTAAAAATTGCTGACTAAATACAAGTATTTTACTAGTTTGTGATCCTAGTCCTGCAATTTTTTTGTATTCAATTTTATTGTTTACTGAATGGACATCAGAATAGTGCAGAACAAAACGAGACTGAGGATTGAACCCACTTCACTTTTTCTACCTTACCCATATGTGACAATTATCTAAAGATGGTAAAATTCATGAGACCAAGGGCACACATAAACCATTTCTTAAAGGTTATAAATTGGATCTTGCACTCATCCCTTTCTTGCGAGAAATATAGGATATACAACTTTCAGGAAGACGAAAACTTTTTTTCTACTGCTACATTATATCATAAATCCTCATCTGTAAAACTGAGATTAGATGATCTTTAACTATTGGTAGTGCACATAAACAATACACAGAAACAAACTTTACCAGCAGCCAAAGGCGCCTCTGGTCCAACAACAACAAATTCAATTTTCTCATCTTTGCAGAACTGAGCTAGGGCAGTGTGATCATTAACTGAGATGGCTGTGAAGAAAAAGAACAACCCACATGACTCAGAAACATTTTTAAGCTAATGAAGTCCAATGCTAAAAACAAAGTACGATATTTTAGCATGTCTAGTACCATTTTATTGTTACAAATGTAATTCCATTTTTGAAAAATTCAAACTAGAATACATTATGCTAACCCTTTTTCTGTCATTATAGCCAGTTAGAAATTTCAAGTTAGCCCATGAAAGAGTAAAGTCTCTGACTATTGAGACCACATCACCACTGTAGATCAGAGTTAACGGAAAATACAGGGGAAACTTCAAAATGTTTGTGAGAAAATAACATCTTACAATTCCATTTTTCCACAAACTTTTGGAAGCTTCTTCATAGATCATAGAATGTGCTCAAGAATGGCTTTTTTGATGCCATTTAATTAATTAAGAATCCACTGTGTGAGGGAGAAAGATGAGGCTGTCAGAAATCTCACACAAGGTTGGTGAGTCCAACTGATGGCAGTGAGTTGAGGCTATGGCAGTCCTGGCACTGCAATGGTTAAAAACTTGGTTGCTAATTGAAACCTGGTGACCTGCTCCCCTGGGTTAGTTCTATTCTGTTCCAGAGGGTGCAATATGTAGTAGTTGTGATATGTAAGGCATAATCCAAAAAGATTTATTAATTTTGAATCTGTAATAAATGACTGACTGGAATACCACATATCCTGAGTTAACAGCTCCACACATAACTGTGCTGAGGAGAGCAAACTATGCCAGCATTAGCACAGCAAGCCTAACCTTAACACGTCAGTGGTAGCAGCTTCAGGACAATCTTGGGAAACTTTTGATGGTGATGTGTATGATCTTAGCAAAAAGACTTAACACCTCACCTTAGGAATTAAGACCTTAAAGAATTTTTTTAAAGTATAGCAATCTAGATATACAACTATCATTTTGCAGCTTGTTTACAAGTTTTTTCCTCCTCCACTAATGCTATGTTCCACATGACATACTGGACACAATACTAGATATGGCAGAGAAATATCATTTCTTTGCCCCAGGCAACTTACATCTTAACGGGTGACAAAAACTCCACAGACTTGACTCTGACTCACAGTCACCCTACATAGTTTCTGAGGCTATACCTCTTTAGGGCCTATTTTTTCTTGAGGAGCAGCTGATGGGTTTGAAATGCTGACCCCATGACAGTAGTGTAATGAACAGTGCTCAGCGCCTCCTTGTAATAGGGAAAAAGAGTAAAAGTAAATAAACAGTGACTCATGTGGAAAAGAAGTGAAATAAGGGTGGACAACTGCTGCTATAGATTAACAGCTGTAGGAAAGCTATCTTTGACAGGTAATATTTAAAATGAAGCTGAGGCCTGAATGATGACGAATCAAGCATGTTAAAGTGTGGGACTAAATGCTAAAGGCGAGTCAGCTCTTTGATAAACTGGCAAGATAGTAAGGATATAAAGCACAGTGAAAAGATGTGTGGGGAGGGAGTGGTGCTGACATATAACCTCAACAGAAAGACAGGGGGAAGTGAAATCACAAAGATTCTGTAAGACACAATAAGTTCAGGCTTATTCTAATTGCTATGAGAAGCCAATGAGGAATGAATTTGCTGCTTGGTATAAACTGATCCTTTCATTCTTTATCAGTGGAAGAGATAAGGGCTAAGATCATTCTGGAGTTAAGAAATGCCAGGATTTACAAGTGGAGCATTGCTTCACTTTTCACTTCTAAAAATAGACATCAAAATGCTTCTATTTTTCTTAGGAATGTGTTTTATAAGATACAGGATTACAGTAGTTTAAGAGTAGGATAAGCGACACTCTTAAGATTATTGTAAATCTATTACATATGAAACAATTCAAATCACCACATACATTTTATGGCTGACAAAAATATGAGTAGCAATCTAATTCTTATATCGCAAAGGACAGTTAGCTGACAGTCTCTCAAGAACATAGAATTACTATTCTCCCGACCCTCCCCCAAGACAATGATTACCAGTATTTGTGATTTTATCAGAGCAAGCAGTGCCTGCATTTCCTGGGGCGACCAATACTTGTTTGACATGATTAGACTGTGCAAGTTTCCAGGCGAGAGTGTGTTCTCTTCCTCCATTGCCAATTACAAGCACACGGGTTGCCATTGCTATCTGCAACGTGTAACACTACAAAAATAGAACACTGCAGGAAGAAAATCACAGGCGATATATTAGAATGCCTATCGCTTAGAAATAAAAGTACTATTACATGCAAGGATATGTTTTTGAATTTTAAAAAATTGTATCCATAAACAGAAATTACGGCACTCAGAATAGGGTAAAGTTTTTTGAATGATGCCATGTATACCTAAGTAATACTTAGGTATTCATCTTGATCTTGAAGCATACGAGGCTGGGCTCCTTAGGCCGACTGTCTGAGTAGACTCTGCCCGTTTTATCGGGGAGTCCTGGAATAACTTAACCTTCTGTGTAGTCGTTTTATGTCTGCAGCGAATGAGAGCAAGCACGCCAGGCTATGTTATTGCAAAGGAGTTGTCGAGTAATACAGAGTACCAGAAGGGACTAAGAATGTGCTGTCGACAGAGTGCCTACCAAGACAACACGCTAAAAATGGGCACTCCCGAGGCCTGAAAAAAGCAAAAACCATAAACAGACTCAAAAGGTAAAGTCCCGACATCTCAGTAAGCAGACTAACAACAGGTCAACGTAAACGTTCCCCGCCAAACGAAACGCACGTGGCGAACTCCCACCCACCGGGTTTGGAAGCAGAGACGAACATCGCTCTACGGCCGAACCCCTTTGCACTGCCTGCACCTCACCCTGCTATCGAAGACCCCGAGCCCACCAGGGCCCCATCTCGGAGCCGAAGGGACTGGTGTACGCACCGACACAAAGCGACGCGCGCTCCTCGCTCCCACGCGGGCGCTCTCCGAACCCCGGCTGGCGCGGCGGAAGTCGGCGGGGCGGCTCCGGCGCGGAGGCGGGCGCGCCGACTGATTGGCCTCGTCAGCTCTCGGGCGCTAATAGGCTGCCTCGGGTCGCCGTCCCTTCGGCCGGCGGCGTAGGTGCCGCCCCCGGGTGTGGCTTGGGCCAGCTACGGACCGCAGCCCCGAGCGCTCGCCCGTTGATAAATGTAAGCCCTTAAAACCGAGTGCCACGTAACTTCTCCACTCGTGAGCGGGGGCCACCCGAGCCCCGAGGGGGGCGTCCCCCCAACAAAACCCACGCTTCAGCTAACCCTGCGAACCAGGGCCCGGACTGACCAGCTCCCACCCAAACTCCCGGGACGCGCCGGCTCGTGAGGAGTCTAGAACACACCAACTTTTGAGAGTAGCTGCCTTAGGACTTCCGGCCTCTGCTCGGATGCAGTGGGAGCTAGGCTCGGTGAAAATGCATTCTCGGTTATTTCAGTAGGGGTGGAGGCAGACAAGTTCATGCCCGGTTGCATCTCCCTAGGAAACAACTTGGCGCCACACGGCAACGCCTAAAGGTTGCTTTTCAAAACATTGCCTCCCTTTGCTTTTTTTCCCTGTAGCATTCGACATCGGACGTTTAGTGGCTATATTAGCCTACTAAATTACCCCAAACCCGGTTGAGGAGTAACAACTGAAGCTGACGCCGTCGCGTCAAGCGAGGTTTCTCGTGTAATGGCGCCTGCGTCAGACACTAACATGGCGGACATGGACGTGCGCGGCGCAAACGTCAGCAGCCTTACCTAAGCCGCTCAGGAACAGCAAAGGAAAACTGAGCCGTGAGCTCTGATTGGCTAGACGGCGAGGCGTGCTTATAAAGACGATTCTGCATCAGCCAATCAAAGAGGCGAGAGACGGAACTGGTCGCAGCACCGCCTCCCGAGGCATGCTGGGAGCCTGGAGGACTAGCGAGGAGGAGTTGAGAGAACGGAGCGGACGCCATGGCGACCAACATCGAGCAGATCTTTAGGTCTTTCGTGGTCAGTAAATTTCGGGAAATTCAACAGGAGCTATCCAGGTAAATGCTTCCCAGACTCGTAAGCTCCCAAGGGGCCGTTAAGGCCCGATGTAGACCTCTGTGACGCCTTTCTTCGGAGGCGCCGTCGTTCTTAAGCTCAGGCCCCGCTGCAGCCCCGCCTGGGCCTGGGATCCATTTTCCGCCGTCCCCTCCCCCACCCTCTCTCTCCTTCTCTGTGAGGAATTTCGCTCCCTCCGAGGTAACCCCACGCTCCCTCATCCAGAACCCGATCGAGGGGTTCTCTCTTCCCTCCCGCTTGGTCGTTTCCTACGTTTTAGCGACTAGTAGGCCTTGGCTGCCCGGCGCCGACGGGCCTACTTCCTCCCTCAGCTCCGCCGCCGCGTTTCCCCTCCCCCCTCCGCTTCCGCGGCTTTCGCCGGTCAGTGCCGATGGCCGGAAAGGGTCTTCAACGGCCGTTTCTTGGGTAATCTTCAGTCCGCTTTGTTATTGTAAGCTTCAGACCGTTTGGGAGTCAGCATTCATTAATTAGATTATTCAGGGCCTTGTGTCTTAGGACTTCCACCCGGCAACATTCTACTTGAAAAGGTTTTCATTAAAGTAGCTTCAGTTTGTTAGCAGTTTTGTCCAAATAATCGATGTGAAGATACTAGGGGACTTTGGGAAACAGTAATTTTTAAATTCTAGCAGGTTGAAAATGGGCTTTGTGTGTAATTGAGTTTTTCGTGCCTCTCTTGCCCCGAGTTGACGTTTGACCAACCCGTTGCTTTCGTTGTCTTTGATACATACACGTTACAGGAATTAACGTGTGGGTGCTACAAAAATGTAAAAGGCTGAGATTTTCGAATAAATAGTTGGTTTATTCCAGAAGGAAAATAGTTACGGTCCTGTTCAGTGGTTGGCTTAATGTTTCTGCTTTCTATCAATTACTTTATTCAAGTACAGGGTGATGTCTTTATTCAAAGACATCTTGAGGTACCAATATTCTGAGTTTAGAGTTTTTAATTTTATTCAAGTTTTTACTTTATTCAAGTACAGGGTGATGTCTTTATTCAAAGACATCTTGAGGTACCGATATTCTGAGTTTAGAGTTTTTTGCTTGTGTGCTTTAAAAATTTATAGAGCAAGAGCAATGTGTACATGTAAACGTTCTAGAATATGTGACTAGGGTCACAACATCTTGGGCCTAGTGGAGATTGAAATAATACTGCTAGAATTATCCAAAGTAGTGTTTTGTCGGGACACAAAATGCCTTAGATGGGAATTGTATCTGTTAATTATATGTTCAATTTTTTTAATGTGCTAGCATTTTTATGTAGGATAATGAGAACACTTGAGCAGAGGGAACGTGAAAGCTAATAGTTGTGTGTGCAGGAAAGTCGTGTTTGTGCAAGGCCTTGGGTTTTTTGTGTAACTATTAAAAACCCATCTTCCTATCAAAATAAATGTATAAAACGTAGAAGATAGTTACAGCAAGAAAATAAAAACCATTTGTTTTTTCAGCGCAAGATACAGAAATAATATATGCTTTTTATCAGTGAATCGTAATTTTTCCATTTTTCACCTTGTATTGTGAGCAAATTTGTCTTACTCCAGTTTTGGGTGTGTGTGAATATTTTTCATGGCTGTATAAAATTCTGTTGTGGAAATATGCTTAGCTTTATTTGAATTGAGATTTTCATTGCATTTTAGTAACTTGATTTGCTTGTTGGCAATCATGCGAACTGCTAAGATGGAATTCATAGTTTACCAATGGATTGACTTATGGAATTTGCCGTTTGTGCTTTGTGAACTTTTCAATTTGTGGTCCTTTGAAGAGAGTAGTTCTAAGTACTCGGGAAAAGTAAAATGAAGTGCTGCAGAATGTTTAACAAGAATATTAGACAAAGCAATTTATTAGTAAGGATGTTTAGCTTTCCCTCAAACTACCTGTAAGGCATTATTGATCTAAAAACGAATTGTGATTTGCCACTTCCCTGATGTCTCACCCCTACCGCTTTTGGTACTGTAGGTAATGAGGCTGATATTTTGAAATAGTAAGGTAACTATTATATGTGTCCAAACAACTGCTGTGGAGAGTGACTCTGTTGGACAGTAGAAGAGGTTTCTAGGTTATAATCTTTATTGGAGGCATTAAGTTTAAGGTTGGTAGTGTTTTAATGATTGTACCACTAAGATTTATATAACTATTAATATATAGCAAGTGTAGAGGATGCTCACCAGCTCCTTCCTGCAAATAGTTCGTGGTATTCAGCCATATTTTTTCTCATTTTCCTTATTTATCAAATCAAGAGTAATATGAGTTTAGTATTTAGGCGTAAATAATTTAAATATTAAGCAGGGCAATATTTGTGAGAACTGTTAGTTTTATTTGATTGTGTTATTAAGCCAAACATTCTTTAGTTAACATTTATTCTTTTCTAGTCATTGAAACTTTTATTGGGTACTGGCGTGTAATTGTTTCAATTAGTTACAATTGAATTAATGAAAATTGGATGGTCAGAATTGACGACTTTTAAACTAGTGTTTTTAAACTACTTTTACCAGTTTATGTAAAAATAACTATACAGCTTAATGTTTCATGTCTGTTACAATGGCAGTGTTATTTCTGTTTATTTTTTACTTTTTGTGTTTTTTTATATAAAAGTTTTCATTTACTCTACATGTGTTTTTTCTTAACTGGATTAAATAACCAGGATTTTTAATAACTGAGTTGTTTCCTAAATGTATTTTTTTAAGCTTTATGATATTATATTGGTAGCTTAAACCAGAACTGAGGTGCAAGGTTATTTTACTCAGTTGTAAGTGGCTAACTTGTGTGTACCAGGATTCTATTTAATTATGATATGTGCGCAGGTGTGGCTTTATTGTGGCCATGTTTTCTATGTAATGCTAGGTAATATATATTTCTTGGATTTGTGATTTGTCTCTTAGTAAGCCTTTTTCCCTAGGAGAAATAACCTAGATAAGCCACAGGCCTCAATAATTTTGGGGAATCTTTTGTTTAAAAAACAAAAAAAAGCTTTAAGTAGAAATAAAATGTACCAGTATTAGTAAATAGTGATGACAGCATTAATGCTGGGATTATCATTGGAAAGAAACACAGGGAGAATGAATTGTGTGGATGTTTTGGTATAAGGTGTTTTAATTGAACTCTGAAGGTTAATTGGCTTTATTACATGATATATTAAATTGTTACTGAATTCTGATAACTCTTCTTGTCAAGTGGAAGGAATGAAGGCCAGTTGAATGGTGAAACCAGTGCACCTATTGAAGGAAACCAGGCAGGTGACTCGTCTGCTTCTGCTAGGAGCCTACCAAATGAAGAAATAGTGCAAAAGATTGAGGAAGTGCTTTCTGGCGTTTTAGATACAGAACTACGATGTAAACCAGGTAAGTTGTAGATTATCAGTGGGCTCAAAAAGTTTGTATTCAGGGTTTTTGTTTTTAACTTTAATCTTAATATTTTTGGACTGCAGGATACTAAAAATAGCCATTAACTGTAAAACTTCAACATATGTGTGTAGTTTGATTCAATGTAGACTGTTTAAATTTTAATCTTTGAAAATACAAGTGGTCTAAGTATGAGCAGTAATGTACTTAGTTGCTTTGATGGTGGATAATAATTTTTGTTTAGTCCAGGATTTTGAGCATAGATTTTTCGATAACATTTATAGCACTTTTGGGGGTGCAGGAGTCTGGGTGAAATCTACACTTGATCTTAGCTAAAAGGCTGAGAAGCGATAGAATCTGAATGAAATCTCTGATAGTGATTTTTAAAACTTATCCTGAGGGTTTTCATATAGACCCCAAGCAAAGAGCTTATCTAGTGTTTTAATCAGCCACAGAAATAGCAGTATCTTCATTTGGTCTTGCACTTGAAATATGTCTTAAATAAACAGTATGATTTGAAAAGCATTGGCGTTAGCTGTGGTTAGGATCATGGCTTTAAAGCAGCGGTTCTCAACCTGTAGTTCCCGACCCTTTGGGGGGGAGGGTGTGTTGAACAGACCCTTTCACAGGGGTCGCCCTATTCATAACAGTAGCAAAATTACAGTTATAAAGTAGCAACGAAACTAATTTTATGATGGGGGGGTCACCACAACATGAACCGTATTAAAAGGTCGTGGCATTAGGAAGATTGAGAACCACTGCTTTAAAGATACAAATTTTGGCATTGTAAACTATAATTTAGAGACAGTGACTAATTTTTCACCTTTTCCTGTGCTGATTTATTTTTTCTGTGGACCTCATGGCATGGATTTCTGATTAGCTTTTTCTGGGATGAATGGGATCTTTCTAATTTGAAATTAAATCCCATCTGGTTGTTAAATGCATTATATACCACATTCTCATGTTCATATGCAAATTGAAATAATTATGTCTGTGCATCTAAGAATTCTTTTTGCAAAATCACTTTTTAAAATGGAAACTTAGTGCTCGCTTCGGCAGCACATATACTAAAATGGAAACTTAAAAAATCTTTGGTAGTTTTAGAAGAGTATTTGGGGAAACATTTTAAAATTGGAGTGTAAATGGGTATGGGTATGCTTTAAAAGTTTGAGGTTTATATTAGGTTTATAGTGAAAATGTGTGCTATATGATAACAATCACATTTAATATGAGCTTACATTTGCTGAGAGCCAGGCTTTTTTCCCCCAGTCTATTTTATGTTCTGGTTCATTTAGTTTTCTAACTATAGGAGGTACAGAGAATCAGTAATTTGCTTAGACTTAGTAAGTGGATTGATTCTGGATCCAAAGTGTTCAGTCTATTGCAGTCCCTATTGCATGCTGCTTTCTGTATATGAGATTGTTGAATAATTGCAAAAATTACTTGATTTTGCTCTTTTAGCTGGAGCTCTAGTGACATAAAGGGCTGCTGACCTCAAGGTCAGCAGTTCAAAACCACCAGCCATTCGTCGGGAGAAAGGGCTTTCTACCCTTTAAAGAGTTCTAGTCTTAAAAACTTTAAAGGGAAGTTCTACCCTGCCCTATAGGGTTGTTGGGAGTCAGCATTAACTTTGAGGGTCTAAGAGTGGTTTAATTTTTAGTGCCATATTTAAGAGTAATTTCTTGAAATTGACACAGTAAGATTAGATGGCTGGAAGATGAGATGTTTGGGTGCAATAACTTTGTATTGTGCTGTGAGCTGAACGGTCTGCAGTTCAAAATGATCAGCTGCACCGTGGGAGAAAGACTGGACTTTTAGTCCAGTAAAGAGTTAGTCTCGGAAACTCAAAGGAGCAGTTCTATGACCTGGTAGCAGTGAGTTTGGTTTGCCTTTGGAAATGAATATTAACGATTTGAAAAAAGTGTGGTGGCCATTTGAATTTAATCAATTCCACTGAATTATACCTATAGTAATTTTTGAATTGTTATGTGTTGCTCTACATTTTCACCAAAAAATATTGAAAATTAATTCAGCTATTACCATAGGGTTGTTATGAATCAGAATCGATCTGGTTTGGTTAGGGTTTTTTGTTGTTAAGATTTTTAACGTAGGTTTTAGTTCTACAAAGGAGTTACTGGGAAAGTGGCAGTCCAGATTACTTAGCTTGTGGAAATAGTTTATAATGCAAGGCTTTAAAAGTTTTATGGGAAAATGGAATTAAAAAGCATGGACTGTTCAAGTTCTTACATTTTTGTGTTTTGTTAGCACGTTTGAATATATGTAGTATATGTACATATTTTGTTAGTATGATGAAGTGTCATGCTATGGCATTTTAACATGCTTTATGTATATTTCTTCTGAGTACTTTGAGGATGTCTGACAAAATTAATTTCTCTTGATTTCAGACTTGAAGGAGGCCTCCAGAAAAAGTAGGTGTGTGTCAGTACAAACAGATCCTACTGATGAAGAAGTTCCCGCCAAAAAGTCAAAGAAGCACAAAAAGCACAAAAATAAAAAGAAGAAAAAGAAGAAAGAAAAGGAGAAAAAATACAAAAGACAGCCCGAAGAATCTGAGGCAAAGCTGAAATCTCATGATATAGAATCTGATTCCTTTTTGAAATTTGATTCTGAGCCTTCAGCAATGGGACTGGCGCATCCTATAAGAGAGCTTGGCTTGCCCGAGACCAGTGATTCCCCTTCAGTTGCTCCAGAACCTTCTCTGATAGCTATGGAGGTATCTGAGCCCCACAACCTAGAAACACTGAAGCAAGCTACAAAACCTGCAGAACTGTCCATAGCATCTACATCAGTAATCTCAGAGCAGTCAGAGCATTCTGTGACAGTGACGCTGGAACCATACATGACAAAGATGGTGGATTCCTTCGCAACAGCATCAGTGCCTACTACAACACTAGTGCTGAAGTCATCTGACCCAGTTGTAACAATGTCCGCGGAGTATCAGATGAAGTCTGTGCTCACATCTTGGGAAAGCACATCTCCAGAGCCATCGAAAATAATGTTGGTAGAGCCTCCAGTAGCAAAAGTGCTAGAACCAACAGAAACCGTTGTGGAATCCTCAGAGACACCTGCTGAGGTGTACCCTGAGCCAAGCACATCAACAACATTGGATTTTCCAGAGTCGTCCGGACCTGAAGTGCTAAGATTGCCAGAGCAGCCTGTAGAAGCATCCATGGAGATCGCTGAATCACCTATGACAAGACCGAAGGAGTTGCTGGAGCTGCCTAAGACCGCAGCGTTGGAGCTGCCGGAGTCGTCGTTGGTGGCCTCAGCAATGGAGTTGCCGGGGCCACCTGCGACCTCCATGCCGGAGTTGCAGGGGCACCCTGTGACTCCAGTACTGGAGTTGCCGGGGCCCTCTGCTACTCCGGTGGCGGAGTTGCCGGGGCCCCCTTCTACCCCAGTGCCCGAGTTGCCAGGGCCCCCAGCGACTGTAGTATCTGAGTTGCCGGGGCCCTCTGTGACACCAGTGCCACAGTTGCTGCAGGAATTGCCAGGGCTCCCAGCATCATCTGTGGGGTTGGAGCCACCACAGGAGGTGCCAGAGCCACCTGTGATGGCACAGGAGTTGCCCGGGCTGCCTGTGGTGACAGCGGCAACGGAGTTGCCAGGGCAGCCTGTGGTAACAGTAGCGATGGAGTTGACCGAACAACCTGTGACGACGACAGAGTTGGAGCAGCCTATGGGGATGACAACGATGGAACATCCTGGACAGCCTGAGGTGACAACGGCAACAGGGTTGCTGGGGCAGTCAGAGGCAACAATGGTGCTGGAGTTGCCAGGACAGTCAGTGGCGACAACAGCGCTGGAGTTGCCTGGGCAGCCTTCGGTGACTGGGGTGCCAGAGTTGCCAGGGCTGCCTTCGGCAACTAGGGCACTGGAGTTGTCGGGGCAGCCTGTGGCAACTGGGGCACTAGACTTGTCTGGGCAGCTCATGGCAGCTGGGGCACTAGAGTTCTCGGGGCAGTCTGGGGCAGCTGGAGCACTGGAGCTGTTGGGGCAGCCTCTGGCAACAGGGGTGCTGGAGTTGCCTGGGCAGCCTGGGGCGCCAGAGTTGCCTGGGCAGCCTGTGGCAACTGTGGCGCTGGAGATTTCTGTTCAGTCTGTGGTGACAACATCGGAGCTGTCAACGATGACCGTGTCGCAGTCCCTGGAGGTGCCCTCGACGACAGCGCTGGAATCCTATAATACGGTAGCACAGGAGCTGCCTACTACATTAGTGGGGGAGACTTCTGTAACAGTAGGAGTGGATCCCTTGATGACCCAAGAATCCCATATGTTAGCCTCTAACACCATGGAGACCCATATGTTAGCATCCAACACCATGGACTCCCAGATGCTAGCGTCCAACACCATGGATTCCCAGATGCTAGCATCCAACACCATGGACTCCCAGATGTTAGCTTCTAGCACCATGGACTCCCAAATGTTAGCTACCAGCTCCATGGACTCCCAGATGTTAGCTACTAGCTCCATGGATTCCCAGATGTTAGCAACTAGCACCATGGACTCCCAGATGTTAGCAACCAGTTCCATGGACTCTCAGATGTTAGCAACCAGCTCCATGGACTCTCAGATGTTAGCAACCAGCTCCATGGATTCCCAGATGCTAGCGACCAGCTCCATGGACTCCCAGATGTTAGCAACTAGCTCTATGGACTCCCAGATGTTAGCAACCAGCACAATGGACTCCCAGATGTTAGCTACTAGTTCTATGGACTCTCAGATGTTAGCATCTGGTACTATGGACTCTCAAATGTTAGCTTCCGGCACAATGGATGCCCAGATGTTAGCATCTGGTACCATGGATGCCCAGATGTTAGCATCTAGTTCACAAGATTCTGCTATGTTGGATTCAAAATCTCCTGATCCATATAGGTTAGCTCAGGATCCTTACAGATTAGCTCAGGATCCCTATAGGTTAGGTCATGACCCTTACAGGCTAGGTCATGATGCCTACAGGTTAGGACAGGACCCTTACAGATTAGGCCATGATCCCTACAGACTAACTCCTGATCCTTACAGAATGTCACCTAGGCCCTATAGGATAGCACCCAGATCCTATAGAATAGCACCCAGGCCATATAGATTAGCACCTAGACCCCTGATGCTAGCATCTAGACGGTCTATGATGATGTCCTATGCTGCAGAACGCTCCATGATGTCATCTTATGAACGCTCTATGATGTCTTATGAGCGGTCGATGATGTCCCCAATGGCTGAGCGCTCCATGATGTCAGCTTACGAGCGCTCTATGATGTCAGCCTATGAACGCTCTATGATGTCCCCTATGGCTGAACGCTCTATGATGTCAGCATACGAACGTTCCATGATGTCAGCTTATGAACGTTCCATGATGTCCCCAATGGCTGATCGATCTATGATGTCCATGGGTGCTGACCGGTCTATGATGTCATCGTATTCTGCTGCTGACCGGTCTATGATGTCATCGTACTCTGCAGCTGACCGATCTATGATGTCATCTTATACTACTGATCGCTCAATGATGTCAATGGCTGATTCTTATACTGATGCGTATGCTGACACATATACAGAGGCATATATGGTGCCACCTTTGCCTCCTGAAGAACCACCTACAATGCCACCATTGCCACCTGAGGAGCCACCAATGACACCACCATTGCCTCCTGAGGAACCACCAGAGGGTACTACATTACCCACAGATCAGTCAGAATTAACAGCTGAAAATGCATGGCCTACTGAGGTGCCAGCATTGTCTCCTGAAGAATCGGTGTCATTGCCTGAACCTACAATGAGTCAGAGTGAGATTTCAGAGCCTTTGGCAGTGTCTGCTAGTTACTCTGTGTCAGCATCAGAGTCCTCAATGTTAGTAGCAGAACCTGTTGTGACTGTCCCAGAACCACCACCAGAGCCAGAGTCTTCAGTTACATCTATAGCTGTGCAGTCTGCTGTGGTAGTAGAACATGAAATTATTCCAGAGACATCAGTGACTTGTATGGCAACTGAAACTCCCATAGTGTCAGCTGAACCAGCTATGTTAACATCAGAGCCTCCGATTATGTCAGAGACAGCAGAAACCTTTGAGTCCATGAGCACTGCAGGACATGCTTCAGAAATATGCGTGCCCATCTTGCAGTCAACTGTAACTATTCCAGAGTCTGCACAGAGCACTCAAGAGCTACCAGCTATGCCTGTCACCGAGCTGCCAGCCATGTCAGTCCCAGAGTCAATGGCGGTGGCTGTTCGGGAGCCACTGGCGGTGGCAGTCCCAGAGCCGCTGGCTGTTTCGGAGGTGCTTGTGGTGGCTGTCCCAGAGCCGCCGGCTATGACTGACCCAGAGCATGTTGCTATTTCTGTGCCAGTGGTTTCTGCCCTGGAGCCAACTGTGTCTATGGTGGAACCAGCAGTGTCGGTTCTTCAGCCTGCCATGATTGTTTCAGAACCAACTGTTTCTGTTCAAGAATCCACTCTGGCTGTTTCAGAGCCTTCTGTTACTGTCTCAGAGCAAACTCAAGTGATATCAACGAAACTGGTTTTAGAAACTACGTCAATGATACTGGAGTCTAGTGTTATGTCCTCAACACACATTATAAAGGGAATGAATTTAATATCCAGCAATTCTAATCTTGCCCCAGAGATTGGCATGCAGGGGATTACCATGTATGCAGGTGAAGAGTCACATGCTGAAGGACACCTGAAGAGTGACACTTATGGAAGTGAACATGGTATGGGTATAGACCTTAATATAAATAATTTAATTAGAAGTGAGATGGAACATACAACAGTGTCTGCTGCCAGCACTGGTAGTGAAATTGGGGAAGAGAAAATTTCACCTGTCAATGAGACTGAGCAATGCACAGTATTGGTTGCCTGCCCTGGTGTTAGTGAAGCTGATGTAAGAACGCTATCTTCTGATCCTCTTGAACATGATGCAAAGGCAACTAGTAAGGGTATTGAATTTGCCACAACATCTGCTTTCAGTTCAGACAATAAATATGATGTGGAAGTATCTGTAACTACTCAAGATAGTGAACATGACATGGTAATTTCCACCAGCCCTAGTGGTGGTAGTGAAGCTGACATAGAGGGACCTTTGCTTGCTAAAGACTTTCATCTTGAGTTACCTACTAATAACTTTGCTAGTGAGGATGCAGAAAGACCATTACCTATGCCAGAGAGTGACCAGACAATGACAGTGGATCTTAACCCTAAAGAAAATAGTGAAGAAAAAGAAGTACCGCTTCCCGCAAAAGAGATACTGCCCAATTCAGGATTTCCTACCAATATTGAGGATATTAATGAAGCAGATTTAGTGAGACCATTACTTCCTAAGGACATGGAACGTCTTACAAACCTTAGGGCTGCTATTGAAGGACCTTTACTTGCAAGTGAAGTTGAACGTGACAGATCTGTTGCCAGTCCAGTTGGTGTAGCAGAAAGAGCTTCAGAATCCTCTTCAGAGGAAAAAGATGATTATGAAATTTTTGTTAAAGTAAAGGACACACATGAAAAGAGCAAGAAAAAGAACCGTGACAAAGGTGACAAAGATAAGAAAAAAGACTCTTCATTAAGATCTCGAAGTAAGCGGTCCAAGTCTTCTGAACACAAATCACGTAAGCGTACCAGCGAATCTCGTTCTAGGGCAAGGAAGAGATCATCTAAGTCCAAGTCTCATCGCTCTCAGACACGTTCACGGTCACGGTCAAGACGCAGGAGGAGGAGCAGCAGGTCAAGATCCAAGTCTAGAAGGCGATCAGTATCAAAAGAAAAGCGCAAAAGATCTCCAAAGCACAGATCCAAGTCCAGGGAAAGAAAAAGAAAAAGGTCAAGCTCTAGGGATAACCGAAAAACCATTAGAGCTCGAAGTCGAACCCCAAGCCGGCGAAGTCGGAGCCATACACCCAGTCGACGAAGAAGGTCTAGATCTGTGGGGAGGAGGAGAAGTTTTAGCAGCACCCCCAGCCGCCGGAGTCGCACCCCCAGCCGCCGGAGTCGCACCCCCAGCCGCAGGAGTCGCACCCCTAGCCGCAGGAGCCGTACCCCCAGCCGCAGGAGCCGCACCCCCAGCCGCAGGAGAAGATCAAGATCTGTGGTAAGAAGACGAAGCTTCAGTATATCACCAGTCAGATTAAGACGTTCACGAACACCCTTGAGGAGAAGGTTTAGCAGATCTCCCATCCGTCGTAAAAGATCCAGGTCTTCTGAACGAGGCAGATCCCCTAAACGCTTGACAGATTTGGGTAAGCCTTTTTTTTTTTTTTTAATTGATGGTAAAGTGGAGAATGATTAAACTTGTTGAGAACCGCTGGTCTAGATGGATTAATTGACTATTATTAAATGTTCATAATTAAGAATGAAAGGTAAAATAAAAGTTCAGTAGATTAAAAACCAGGCATTCTTCCAAATGAAGCCTAAAATTTAATTTTTCTTAGCAACGTCTTAATATTACGAGATTTAGAACTGTTAAATGATTGTAAAGGTATTTCTGAATAGGAAAGTTTGCATGTGGGTGTAGTTAACTCGGTGGGTAGTAACTAGAGAAGCAAAATGGAATTAGGGGTATGTAATCACCTAAAGCATATTTTCTGATTGTAAATAGCATGCAAAGATGATTAAAACTCGAGGCCCATTGTGAGAATCAGCAAAAGATTTCTGAGTTCAAGGCACTGTGCAGAGGAATAGTGTAATTCTTCAAATGGTTACTAGAGGAATTGAAGATTTAAATGTATGAAACTACCCAAAAAGCAGAATGTGGTGATAAGTGGGTAATCTGAAGAGTGCAGTATAGAAGAAAGCCTTGATGTCTACTACTTAGATGAGTTGGAGCTTGGATGGGACTCAGTGTGATTAAGGTACTGTCAAAGATAGGAGAGTCCCGTATATACTCAAGTATTAGCCGAGTTTTTCAGCACATTTTTAATGCAGTTTTGGTGGTAAAATTGGGTTCCTCTGCTGATGTTTTTTCCCCGGCTTATACTTGATTATATATGGTAATTTCCTCCAGTAGGTGGAATAAGGACATTATGGATAAAGACCTAAGTTTGGAAAGTAAATTAGACTTTTGCAGGTGTGTGTCTTAGTGTATGGCACAGTGAGTAGTAGTACAGTGTAGAAGTTAGCTGTTTTGTGTGGTATTTGAGTGGGAAGCTCATTGCAAACTTTAATAGGGAACCACTTAGTAATGAGCCAGAGTGATGTGATCAGAAGTATACATTGGGACAGAAATTGAAACTTAATACTGAAAAAATTGGGGGTAATGCAAAATGTACATACAGGTTATAGGAAAACGTTTTCTTGTATATTTTTTTCTCTTAATAGATAAGGCTCAATTACTTGAAATAGCCAAAGCCAATGCAGCTGCCATGTGTGCTAAGGCTGGTGTTCCTTTGCCACCAAACCTAAAACCTGCACCTCCACCTTCAATAGAAGAGAAAGTTGCTAAAAAGTCAGGAGGAGCTACTATAGAAGAACTAACTGAGGTAAGCTAGAGACAATTTGTTATCGTTCTTAAATGGATTATTCCAGTGATGTTGACTCTGGAGCGTGCCAAAACCCGAATTGTGGGCTGAACTGATAATGGCTGGCACCGAGTGGCCAAAACCCGAAATACAGCTGTGGCAGCGGCAGAAACTCTGTTTAGCAGGCCATTATCCGGGATGGCTAAGCTCCGCTAGCTAAAAGTTACTTCCCATTACTTTTGCTTTCCAGTTTTAGAAGCCAAACTGACTGAGGAGTGGAACGGTTCGTTTGAATGGAGGAGGTGTTGAGTGAGCAACACGCAGAAGCTCGCCTACAGTTTCGTTTCCATTCACGACGTGTTCACTGATCGCCACGAGTGTACTGCATATACGCAAAGACACAGACAATCTTCAGAAATGATCTTTGGCCACCGGAGCTTGGAAATTAATGAGAATAGCTGGCCATTGCCTGAAAGGAACTTCTTTCGCATCAACATTTCGGGTTCTGGCTGTTTGGTACCAGCCATTGGCGATAATGGCCGGCCATTATCAGTTCTTCCTGCGATTCGGGTTTTGGCAGTAACATGTATTTTAAACACACTTATTTTGTTTTTAAAAATTTGATCTTTTCAATTGAGGCTTTTTGGGGTTGGGGGGGTGCTTTGTTGTATTATTGGCTTTGGGGGTGTGTGTGTGCTGAAATATTGCTGCTAGGATCCAGAAATACCATACTGTTTCATATATTGAAACTTGTAACTTGCTATTGGCTAGCCTTATGCCAGCCTGCCCCTGTCAGTACTTTGTTCCCCTTG